ACGTTAATTGAACCGGTACTGTGAAGTTTCAGGTTGTTGCCAAGAATGGCTAGAGTCCTGACAAAGAGGTTGTGTGCGGCAAGCACGCACGACGCCAGATGACCGGAGACCGGGTGTGTGATCCTTGCGCACTCCGGGAATGGACGTGCTGGAGGATCTCAACATGTGCTTTGGGCGATGACGGCTCTGATGTGACTGAAGAATGCTTGTAGTTGATCGTTTATTAGTTACCTTCTCAAAATTAGTACTTGATCGTCTGTTGTGGCACTGAAGATTGGTGGTTGATATACATAGAAAATTCCGAATATTTGTTGCGGCACTGAAGATTAGTACTAGTTGATCATTGCCGGTGGCAATTGTCTATTTATTTTTTGTGTTCTATTGATGAACTGGCATGTCATGCAATGTAATGTTAGCTTGAGATGGAATGCAATGCAATATAAGGCTTATGAATATTCTGAATGGTATGCAATGTAATTCTATTTGGCATTTCTTGGATTAACTTCTTTACATTATGAGTGATCTTTTGTACCTTATGAATGTTGGTAGTTCAAATGTAAGGTAGAAGTGTGAATTGCACTTTATTTATACAGTGCAAAACTCATTTTAACTTGCAATTGACTATGTGAACTATCAAAAGAACATAAACATCAGTGTGGCCAAGTCCGACAACAATTGCTTTGAGCAAACCTTTCAATTTGTTTTATTGACTATCATAAGAAACTGGCATGCCTGGCTAGAACAACACAGGCCATTTCAGAACATGCTTTGTACCAATGCTGTACCAATTTAGCACCAGTTCAGTTCATGCTCTGTACCAATTTAACATTAGTTCAGTACAAGCTCCATAATTTTGACCACTGACCTAGCAAAAATGACACATGATACACAGGAGAAGAACAAAATGAACATGTTCTTGAACATATCATACATGTCTTGGATACATGACAAAAAGACAGCAGTTTGTAGTACTAAAGACATCATTTTGTAAAGTTAAGGTTCATCACATGACCATATATCATACATGCATGGAAGCAAATAAAAGATAGTGTAACTAGTTAAGAAAAGACACCACACATCATTTCACATGCTCATCTCTCCTCCCTAAATATATCAAACATGCTTGTTATCCTTGGTTTCTTAAAACCAGTTCTTGGTTCACTGAAATATGGTCTTTTTGGCTGATGTGTTTGCTTCAAAGTGCTTTCCTTTCCCTGGCATACTAGTGTGTCATGCATGGCTTGTCTATTTGCCTCCTCAACTTGTCTATTGTTCCATTCTTCTACTTGTTGATTTCTCTCTTCCCAATTTTGTACCATGGATGTGCCTTGCATTTGAACTTGACCCTCCCAGGCATGCTGCCTTGAGTGATCCTCACTCTCATGAAAACCTCTTATCCTTTCTTGCTCGTCTACCTAGAATATTAAAAATCCCATTTCTTCTTCTCTTAGAGCGGCTTCAGTTTGTTATCTCTTCTCATCAGTAATTCTCTTCTTTTCTGCAGCCCTCTTAGTTTTTGCTTCCTCCGCTTCTTTCTTTATGGCTTGCAGTGCATTCCTTTTGGCATCTGCAAGTGCTTTTTTCTCTTGTTGTGCAGCTAATTTTGTTCTTTTCCTTTCTTCAATTTGTTTTCTTTTTTCTTCAGCTGCCAACCGTTTCTCTCTCAATACAGCTTCCTTCTTCTCCTCTAGCTCTAGCTTTTTTGCTGCAGCCTCTTCTCTCCTTTTCTCTGCAGCTTGCAAAATCTTTTGCTCTTCTTCTCTTACCTTGGCCATAGCTACTTCAAACTTTGCTTTGTCTGCAACCTCTCTTTTTTCAGCTGCTGATTTTAGTTTTGCCAGAGCTAGAACCTCTCTTTTTCTATGAACATTTCCCTCTTTTGTTACAGTTGTTGGCTGCACAGGGGGTGGCTTGGGACATTTTCTTCAATAAATGAAGAAGATGGTAAAGGTACCGCGTCAAGTGGGTCCATGGTCTGGCTTGCAACATTCTGACAGAAAAACAAATTCGATGTTCGTTACATAGATACAGTCATTAGGATCCATTCCTATTGCAGTCAACATATTGCCTCCAAATTGTGTTTTCAAGTGACATCCATCTAAGAAAATAATAGGCCTGCAAGCTAAAAGAAATCCCCTCTTGCATGCATCGAATGAGAAATAACACTTCTGAAATTGGCCATCATCAGCAACTTGCAAAAAGAATGAGCTGCCAGGATTTGATCTCCTTAACTCCGTTGCATAACCCCACAACATATTGTATTGTTTTATTTCGTCTCCATAGATAACGATGAATGTTATTTTCCTTGCTCTCCAAAGCTTTTGCCTATGAACCTTCATGTTCCATTCTTGCTGAACCATCGATCCTAAACCCTTCAGAGAAATCTTCTCATCTGCTCTTATCTTGTCAACATATTTGCTAGCTATGTACTTGGCAATGAAAGCTCTAACATGCCACTTCTTACTGCATGTGTGCTCATCTTTAAATGTTTTAACCACTATACCCTTTGTTCTATTGTCATAAGAAGCATATAAATACCATGGGCATCCATCATTGCACTTTGCTTCAATCCTTGTTTTGTCATTTTTGGGAAATGTGATTTGCAGTCTCTCCTTGCAACTGTACTCCCTAACTGCATGTCTGACCAGTGCAACAGATGAGAAAACCTACCACACATGAAACTTGGGCTCATTCAAATCCTCTTTAGTGAAATGTTTGAAGTTAAACTTCATTTCTTCGCCATCTGAATCTGGCAATTCAAGACTATTATCTTCAGAATTGGGCTCTTCTTCTAGCTACTTCCTTTTGTCCTTCCTTTCTTCTCATCATTACCATCTGCATCTTCAACTTCATCATTAATCAAATCATCATCACCATCCTCCAGGTCATAATCACTGTCAACCAGCTCCGGGTCATAATCCGAATCATCTGAATATGATTCACTACTTAATTCTCCCTCCCCCTCTACTATTCCTCTTCTTGTGTTCCTGCTTGATCCTTGTACATTGCTCTCACATGCATACATCATGTCAGAAGTGTTTTCCTGAACGACAACAATGCTTTGCTCTAAAGTACTGTCAGTTGCTCTTCATTGGACTAATCACGGGAGGACGATGTGCACATGGATTGGATACGACATCATCCCATCCTCCTCCACCATAAGAGCCATCATGATCTTGATAGAACATAAGGTATTTGTGCCCCTCCCTAACAAACTTCCTGATGCAGTTCATATCGTTGTCCCTAGATATTAATTTCAGTCCATCTCCATTTATTTGCATTCCAGGCAGCGATATCAATATGTCTATTCTGTATGCAGTCTCATAACCCAGTATCTATATTAATTCATACAACATATCAATGCAGGTGACACTGGCATCATAGTAGTCATAGCAGACCTTACGACCATTCATACAAGACCTATTGTATCCAGTGCCAATGAAAACGCCTCCATGGATAAACTCAATGGTGTAGAAATCAGTGCCTTCTTCTGTAAAATGAAAAGGAAACCACCAATTTTAGCATCCAACAAAGAACCCTAAGAATCTGCCTACACCCTAACTAAAATTATGCTGAAAGTACCTAAATTGTACTATAACATATCCGGCCAAAACGATCGACATGGTCATAATACAACTAGCACTTACGAAGCAAATGCTAGAGAATATGAGGGGTGGTTGAATCTTACCGTACGTGGGCACAGGGACGCCGCTGTGTCGTTCTATAGGCGACATCAACGCCTTTCACAGCGACAGACGACGATCTCGTCGCCCTCGCAAAATCCCTCGGAACGACCGACTCTCGTATGTGCGATCATGTTGATCACCAACCACGGCCGCCAGCCATGGTCGTCATCGAGGAATAACAGAGAGAGGCGAAAAGGGTGAAGGGCTCGAACTGGAAACAATACGCAATCAGCGGGCCGGTTGCACAATTTCGCAGCGAAGCGTTCTGGCTGGACCCGCTCGAAGGATGACGTGGCACCCATCTCAGCGCCCAGCGTATGCAGAAACGTACACAGGACTGTATATGTAGCTTAATAGCAAGTATGAGGACTGTTTTGGAGCGATTCACAAGTTTCAGGACTGTTTTGGAGCAGGCCGACGAGTTCCAGGACCGTGCATGTAATTTACCCATGAAACTCATAGAGCATTCGTCCAATGTGCCCCACGATGGACCATAATCGTCCACCCCAACACAGAACTTGTCCTTCCATTGTCATTAGCGTTACGTAATCGAACAAAACAACATGGGGATGTAGCTCAGATGGTAGAGCGCTCGCTTAGCATGCGAGAGGTATGGGGATCGATACCCCACTTCTCCAAAATTTTGTTTTTCCTTTCTTTGCAGATCCGAAAATACTGTGACAAAAACACTATCTTGACTTTACTTTCTTTTTGTTGAGAGAGATCTTGACTTCACTTTTGCAAACTCCAAATCTCACAAACAAAAAGCATATACGCGTTTGTGCTGCGAACATACACAAAAGCGGTGCAAAAATCACTGGCGAAGAGCGGAATGTGACCATTTATGATTTTATCAGAATATCCTTCGTCTACGCCGTAAAGGGGATGTAGCTCAGATGGTAGAGCGCTCGCTTAGCATGCGAGAGGTACGGGGATCGATACCCCGCATCTCCATTAGCTTTTTGTAAACTAACTCAACTTTCAGATTTTTCAGATAACAGATAAGCCACTGTGTGTTTGCTGTTGGCCGGTAGCACAAACAGCCGATCTGTACTTCCATCCAAACGCATTTTTCTTGCCGCGGTTGCTATCATCCAGAAGCTTAGCTAGCAGAAAGAGAGCAGGCAGGTGCGGGGTGGTCTGAATTTGCCGCTCCTTTTTTCTTATATTACTTTTTTTTAAACAATATATTACTTTTTTTAGGCAACAATCTTATATTACTACCAATGAAGGATCATCGCGCTCCACTTATAAGTCACTCACAATGGGCATGAGGTAACCCGCTGCGGTGAACGCAGAGCCGGGTCTCTGCCGATGGGCCTCCCCGCTCGACTCATCCGCGGCTGGTGCGGCTTGGCAGTCCTTTGCCTGCGCCTGTGCGCAACATCCTGCAACCCAGGTAAGGTACGGTGGACGCACACACATAGCAATGCTAACGCTTCCGATGTCGACTGACGTGGACTCTTATTCTCCGCATGCGTGCGCGACAGACGTTGCGCCGATAGAGCCTCTGCCCTCGAGGTCACTGCAGTGCTTTGAGGACGGCCAGGTATGCAGTTCCCAAGGCATTTTTGGTTCCCAAGTCTGCCTTGGGTTCTTGGACCGACGGTGTGGGTGGGTCTTACCTTGGTCCTCTCCTGGTGGGCAGGTGTACGGGTGCTGCGAGGGCGCGCTCCGGCTGGACGCGTCGGGGGTGATCGGCGTGCCGCTGGGGGCGGTGGACTACTACTGCGGCGGGGCGTGCGTGGTGGAGACGGAGGACGTGCTCAACTGCGTGGCCAGCGCGCTGGACGGCTTCAGCTTCCGCAACGGCGCCTCCGTGGAGGGCGCGCGCTACGCCCTCAGGAGGGGGTGCAGCCACACCATCAAGAGAGGGGACTTCAACGCTTTGGAGCCACCCACGGGCAACTACCCGGACATCTACGGTGACTACCGCGGCCATGGCTGCAGGGCTACTACGCCTCCTCGCAGCAGCATCAACTTGCTCGCGTTTCTAGGTGCCGCCTGGCTGCTGCTCATTCAGGGTCGCTGAAGATGATAATACTCCTTCCATTTCACAATGTAGTGCTTCATCTATTCACGTGTTTTAATTTTGATCGTAAATTTAACTATCAAGACCAATTACGGCGAGAGCAAAAATTATATCAATAAATTCGTATTCAAAAGAAGTTTTTAATTATATAATTTTTTCTTCCGAGTTGGTCTCGTTGGTTAAATTTATGGTCAAAATTGGACATCGGAAAGCACGGGCGCACTATATTTTAAAAGGAGGGAGTAGTTGGCAGTTCACTCCTCACAGAACAGTAGAGTAGCAGCAGTTTCTTTTTGGCTCTAGCGTCACGAGCAGATGCTGTCTCATGCACTACACATTTTGGTAAAACGATCAATTCTTAAGTCTCTAACACAACTTACGAAACCTTTAGTTACACAAACAATGCAGCAATCAGGCAAACAAATGTGTACAAATTTGTTTTGTGTTGTAAGCCTTTTAGGCTAAGAGCAACTCTAAAGGGCCGACATATTCCGTCCGTCTGCGTCCGTTTAGGTCAGCGCGGACAAAAGTGACGGCCCAACACACCGACCCAAGCCCAAATCACGTTCGCGTCGCGTCCGCGTCGACGCATTTGCGGCCTAAATTTGCGCCTTAAATGCGTCGGCGCGGACGCCGAAACCGGACGCTTCGCGCGCCTTCTCGCTATCCGCCGTGTCCCCATATGGCAGCCGTCCAATTACCCGCTGCCCACGCGGTCAGCTTAATTTATGACGACGGGCCCACGCGTCAGCGATGACGCTTGTCTTTTTTTAAGCCGACCGTGCGGCGGGGCCGTCCTCATCCAAACTCGCCGTCCCCATCTGCCCACCTTGCTCCCTCGTCGCCGGCAAACCCTAGCCACCACAACCACAGTGACGATGGGCCTCTTCTACGGCGCCAGCGGCAGCAAGGCCGAGGGCAAGTCCCCCGCCACCCCTTTCCCCTCCGAGTTCCTCCCACCCCCGCCGGCGCCTCGCCGGCAGAGGCAGCGCGTCAGCGTGCCAGTGCACCAGGCGGAGTGGCACTGGCAGAACCGCCAGCCTCTGCCGTATCCGGACGAGACGCTGCCGCACGACTGGCATCTGGATCCAGATAGGATCCCAGTGCCGGCAGCGCCGCGGTCGGCTCGTGCTCACGCGGAGGAGGTGCGGCGCCGGCGGGCGCTGCTAACGCCGGAGCAGCGCCTCGACAATGCCTACGCAACCGACTCGCCCAACTGGGCAAGGTGGTTCGCCTTCGAGCACGAGGAGGCGAGGCGACGGGGCGTGCGCGAGGTCGACCGGAGGCCAACGCCGCTGGTCGTCCGCGAGGAGGACCAGGCAGCGGAGGACGCCTACCAGGCGGCCCTTGCGGCCGTCTACCGGGAGAGCGAGGAGGACGAGCGGCGCAGAGCGGAGGCGGCGGAGGAGGCCTGCTACAAGGCGGCAATGGCGCGGGCCCTTGCCCTCTCCGCGGCGGGCGACAGCGTGGTGCCGCCGTTGGCCCCGCCGTCCCCATCAAGCTGGAGCCGCAGCCGAAGCCCGAGCCCGAGCCCATCACGCGCTTCTCCTGGAATGGAGTGGTGCGCGAGTGGGTGTCCGCGCCACCGGTTTGGCTGGAAGCGACGCCGGCGCAGGAACAGGCCTACCTCGAGATGTGGCGCCAGCGCCGGCTGGCAGAGGAGCGCCGTCAAGGCGAGTACGAGGAGATGCTCGAGTGTGACCTCGAGGAAGAGGCGCGCGAGGCCGAGCAGGAGGCGCGCCAGGCCGCGGCTGCACAGCCCCCTACCCCAGCACTGCCTGCGCCGGCACAGCCCGACATAACGCCTAGGGCAGCGCGCCGCCTCATAGTTTAGGCTGTATTTATTTTTTTAATGCAAATGTGGACACGTGGACTCTCACCGGCTTCGTGGCTGGCTTTAATGTTTAATTAATGTTATTTCTCTTTTTTTAAATATGCATGCGTTCATTTTTTTTAGCACCGTCAAAACAGGTCTCAGGCCAGCGTTGGGCATAGGTGCCGACCCAAATACGGAAGCAGGCATCCGTGTCCGTTTGGCCGACCCAAACAGACAAAAAGCGGACGAAATCGCCGTCCGTTTGGGTCAAATATAAAGGGTTGCTTTTTCACGCCTTTATATTATATAATCAAGGGAAAAAGAAATTTCTCTCCGAGCAAACGGGTGGGACTCGGTTGCTTTATAACTCGGGACTAATATTTGCCATTCCATCAAAAAAAGTTGTCAGTTCAAAAAGAAAAAGGAAAGGTGCAATTCATGCTGGAAGAAATTAAAAATGAACTCCTCATGTCAACTTTCCATGATCATCTTCAAGGCTTCAACGAGAATCTTGATGAATAAGTTGCGACTTTGCTTTAAATTTCTACCATCAAACAGAGTTTCCTGGCAACTACAAACTGGGACGCATCAGAGATCCACTATCTTCACAAGCTTTGTATAGATAACACGATTATCCCTTGCCGAATTGCTCTCATCAAGCGCGGCCTCCACCAAGTCCTGCCGAGGGAAAACGTGTCACTGTTAGATGCAAACTAAATGCCAGAAACACTAATGCATTGATACGATATCAACCCATACATAATTAAAACGATCAGAATTGAGAAGGATACAAAAAATAATTGGTACAAATAAACCATAGAAGGTAAGCAAGAGGTTCAGATATCTAACCTCCACGTCCCTATTAGACAAGAACTTCCCCAGGTTGTGAACAATGCACCTTAGATCTTCTGCCTGCAGTTGTGAATATACATAATGCAACATAAGAACAATAGCCACAAAAATAGAGTGCAAGTAATAGCAGAGTCAGTGCTTAAAGAAAAAGCCATCATGGTTTCAAAAGAAAGGCATTATTAGTATGTTACCTTGATATAGCCCACTCTGCTCTTGTCAAAGTAGCGAAAAGCCTACAAGATAAGGGGGGAAACTGCACACATTAGCGACATCTTAACATTTTATGGCAACTCTTAGTCTCTTGCAACAGAAAATTTACCTGCAACAGGTCCTTATCAACTACTTCATGTTTTGCTGAATCTCCTTTCGGTGATACAGCTGCCTTATCGCCAACTTCTACCAAACCTCCTTTCTCTGCTATAGTAACAGGCTTTTCATCTATACAGGCAACATTTTCTAATTCGATCTCCTTCCCTGCTTTCTGGTTCAGTTTATCTTCTTTTGTTACTTCTTCTAATTTGACCTCTCTACTGTTCAAATTACCATCCTGCAGCACGTACACAGGCAAACGCATAATTAATCTCCTGGCACAGATAAAACAATCAGGTACACTGAAACATGAGGGAACAGTAGGATTTTATAGGTGTACTTTCAAGATAAAAGATTATAAACCAGCTTTCTTTTACATGAAATTTGAACTATAATTCAATGACCAGTGTACAAAACCCACTGTATAAAACAGCTCTCTTCTACATGAAATTTTACTATCATCCAATGACCATGTCAGGTGTAGAGGCCACTGCGCAAATTTTTGTAAGCTCTGACAAGTATAGGAGCCTTGCGAGGTTAGCTTGAGCACTGAGACGACCAAGTTTCTGCATTAGTTCAGGATGAAACTGACAAAACATAATAGCAAAACCTGGTCTCATCCAAAACTATCAACTTAAGATGTGGAAAGCTGATGTAGATTCCATATTATGGAAACAATTAATTAAGCACAAGCAAAAATTCCACAATAACATTAGCCTGCAACAAACACCTCTACTGCTATGAAGAAAGGGGATTCCAAAAGAAACACAAGATAAATAAATGGCATGTCTGATTGTCAATCAACTATAACTATTGTGTGCAAAACATGTTTACCTGTTGCTCAGCAGTATCACCATCCATGTCCTCATCGTCTTCATATATTTCTACCTCCTCAGGATCTTCTTCATAGTCAGGATCTTCATCCTCCATCTTCTCTGCTGCTACAGGTTCATCACGAGTAGCTGGTAAAGGTATCTGATCTATGCTCATCTTTTTCTTATCATCTTCCGTTATTTTATCGTTTTTTGGAGCACTGATATTATTAGGGGTACTTTCAATGTGAGCACCTTCAGTTGTCTTTGATCTCTTTTCTGATGATTTTGTGCCTTCCTTCGTTAGATCATCCTCTCTTGTGCGCTTACGTCGGTTCTTCTTTGTAACATAGTGCTTGTGTAGTTTCTGTGAAACAAGTAAATATCAAGCCCCATGTGGGCAGATATTAACACATAAAAAAACTCCTGAACACAAGAACTGCTACCCCTTTTGTTATGAAGACAAGACGAAACAGGATTAGGCTCCTAGTGCTCCAGAACAGAAAAAAAGGCCAAACAGGATTTTGTTTGGGAAGAGGCAGAAAACCAACAGCCTACCGGAGAATACAGACGATATCTCGACTGCTAAGTGAACCGCATCCTCATATAGGTATAACCTTAATGCCACAGTTTCGACAATGACCAGGAAACATGATTGAGTGTGATAACTTTTGCACTCACTGGTTCCATAATAGCTTTATCCCCCAAAAGTAAACTACAGCATTATTAATGTTGCTGGATTTTGTTAGTATTAAAATAGAAATTAGTGGCCAAAGCTGTGTTCTGGAGACTGCTGTTTTACAAAGCAAAAATCTTTAGAGCACTAGACCAGCCAAGTAATAACCACATGGATTTGTTGATGTGAATTAGTGGAAAGCACACATGGCGTACTCAGTGCAGAGTTTTCTCATTTTAGGGTTCAAAATATGCACTAGATTAAAAACAAAAAAAGGATTGATCGTGTCACAAAATTGATGACATGGGTAAATGGTACTTGACAAAGACCAACTGTTATTATGCTTAAGCTAAAGGTGTCGGCACAGCTAAAGAAACTTACCTCAAGAAAAGACAGGATAATGCAGCCCATTCTGAATTGAAGCATTTCACTGAACGACTCAGCAAACAGCGAAAGCTAAAAGGGGAAATAAGAGCATATATCAATGTCAAAAGATAATAAAGTTTATTCTTCAGAGAGAATTAAAATTACATTT